TTTGATGGACCATTCAAAAGTACAGTTGAACCTCTATTAAGCGGCCACCTATTTTAATAGCTTAAAAGTAACCACCCCATGTTAAGTGGCCAGATATCGAAGTCGTAGTCAGTAATACACTGGAAATAAACCCCCCATTCACTAGCCACCTCTCCTTTTTGATCGTCCCGACGAATGGGTCTTTCTAGTTTTCCGTATCCCGATCCCCCAAAATTGAACACACGTAGCTAGTTCAGTTTGGCTTTGTTTTGAAGAAAGGCGATGACAGATAAGGGTTCGCAATAGAAAGTAACCACTGATTAACACATTTAAACACAAGTTTATTATTGTCTTCACGTGATTCCATGTTGCCTTAAAGCATGCATGTTTGTACTTGAATAAATTGACGTTTCTACTTAGCCTCTTGTTAATTCCTGACCCATTAAGCGGCCACCTCCTATTTCCTTAAGGGTGGCCAGGGTTCGTCTGGATTACTTTTATCTTACGGTGGAATCCCGATTTTTCGAACCTCCAAGGGAAACGAAAATTGGTTAGAAAAATCGGATAGTTTGAGAATCGGGGGTAAAATTACAGCGTTTGACTGAGGAGAGGGAACGAGACATCGGGAGGTTAGAAAAAATGAGGGTTCGAGAAATCGGGATCCCACTGTATTATATATCTTTTAGCTTCAATTTTTCTAAACACTTGAAGCAATTTGAAGAAGACAACCTTTGATTGCACGCCTTCCTTTTCATCAAACTTTTTGATAACCAGTTTTAAGTATAAAACGTACGTTCTGATCGGGTGAGTTGCTCCTTTGCTTGAGATTTTTGAAAATAATGACAAGATCATAAAAACTCTGAGTCTACTAACTTATCTTACCTTTTAGTATCACCCACCTAGTGGACTAATGCAAATCCTGCATTTTGATTGGCTACGCTACTAGGGGACTATTAGTAATAGTCATCGAGTAGCGAAATTGGCGCCATCGAGCGTGACGCTTTCATTCGTTTTATTCCTAAATAAATATTTCTTCAACTTGTATTTGCTAACTTTATTATTACCTTTTCTGTCCGACTAGTTGGGTGAT